ATTTGCATACTTGATTTATGTAAAAAAATTGTTAATTTAACAAGTGTGTGTGTGGAGGGTACTTACTTATTCTATTTAGTAACTTATGTTTTACATCAAATTTCAATGATCTAATTGTTAAATTAAAAATTCTTAATATATTTAATTTGTAAAATTTAAAAAAAATAAAAATTATTTAATATTTCATTATATAAATTCAAATGAAAGGTAGTTGTATGCCAAGCTGTCCAAGTGTGAGTTTTGGTTGTTTGAGGTGAGGTTTTTAGGGCATGTGATATCGACAGAGGGGATTGCAGTGGATCTAGTCAAGGTGGAGGCTGTGATTTAGTGGGAGCGTCCAAGGACTGTTACGGAGATTAGGAGTTTTGTTGGCTTAACGGGTTACTATCAGAGATTCATAGAGGGTTTCTCTCGAATAGTAATGCCTTTGACTTAACTGACTTGGAAGGATCATCTTTTTGTTTGGATGGACGCATGTGAGCAGAGTTTCAGGAATTGAAGGGGTGATTGACTACTTCTCCGGTTTTGGTGTTACCTGACACTGGTGAGTATTTTGAAGTGTTCTGTGATGCTTCTCACCAGGGGTTGGGCGGTGTGTTGATGCAGGGAGGGAAAGTAGTGACATATGTTTCAAGGCAACTTAAGACCGAGATTGTGTACTGGTGGAGAGGCACCAGGCAGATGATAGAGAGTAGAGGTGTGGTTGTAGATTGGGATTGCTTCAAGAGAGTTTTCTTGGAGAATTATTTGTCGGACATCGTTAGATATGCTAAGGAGGCTGAGTTCATGAGACTGCAGCAGGGGAGCATGTTTGTTCTAGATTATGCTATGAGGTTTGAGCATCTGGCTCGTTTCTATTCTCAGGCCGTATCTGAGACTTGGAGATGTAGGAAGTTGTAGAGGGGTTGAGGCATGAGCTGAAGAGGGTCATAGTCCCTATGTTCATAATGGAGTTTCCTGCCTTGGTTGAGAAGGCAAAGACTGTTGAGAGATTGAAGGGTGGTGGTAGCAGCGACAAGGTTGCTAGAGTTCAAGAGGGATCATCCAGATCTAGGAGGGGAGGTTAGCAGAGAGGACCCTATGACAGGCCTGTTCAGTCTCAAAGGGGTGTTGTTAGTAGGGGACCTCGTCCTGCTACTCCTCAGGGTGGAGCACAGTCGGTGCAGTGTTACAGATGTGGAGAAGCCCACATGGTTAGAGATTGTTCCCATTCGAGGAATGTTTTTTTTTTAGATGTGGCAGGCCAGGCCACATTTTCAGAGATTGTCAGATGCCACCGACTCCATCTGGAGTGCCCCGAGGCCAGTCAGGCCTACGATTGCAGGGAGAGTGATTTTCTTTATCTGGTGTAGAGGCTTCCACTTTATCATATTTGGTGAAGAGGAAGGGGAAGGCAGCAGGTGAGGATGTTTTTTTCTTGTTTGATTCTGGTGCCACACATTCATTTATTTTGTTGATTGTGTGGGGAGATTGGGTTGTCGGTATCTGCATTGCACGTTGATTTGTATGTATCTACTCCGGCTTCAATTTCTTTGGTCACATCGAAGATGTGTGTGAGATGCCCGATAGAGGTGTTTGGTAGGAGGTTCCGAGTGAATCTGATTGTGTTGCTCATGGTAAATATGGACATAATCTTAGGGATGGATTGGTTATCTACCCGTCACATCCTTATAGATTATGCTCGAAGAGAGTTGGTATTTCCTTAGTTGGAGGATGAGGTGTTATTGTCAGCGGGTCAGGCTGAGTAGTTGATGAGAGATGGAGTTGAGTGTTTCATGTTGTTTGCCGCCTTGAGTGTTGAGACGGAGAGGGTCATCATTGGGATTAAGATTGTCAATGAGTTTCCTGAGGTGTTCCTAGATGATGTGTCGGGATTGCCACTTATGCGTGATGTTGTGTTTAGCATTGATCTGGTACTGGGTGCAAGACCGGTATCAGTGGCTCCTTATAGGATGGCTCCAGCTGAGTTGGTAGAGCTGAAGAGACAGATTGAGGGTTTGTTGGAGAAACAGATGGTGAGGCCCAATGTTTCTATTTGGGGTGCCCTGGTACTGTTAGTAAAGAAGGATGGTGGGGCTCGTTTGTGTGTTGATTATCGACAACTAAATAAGTTGACGATAAGGAATAAGTATCCACTTTCGAGGATTGATGATTTGATGGATCAGCTGAGGGGAGCTTCGGTGTTTTTGATGATTGATTTGAGATCCAGATACCATCAAATAAGGGTAAAGGAGAGTGACATACCGAAGACTGCTTTCAGGACTAGGTATGGTCACTGTGAGTACGTAGTGATGCGTTTCGGTGTCACTAATGCTCCAACAGTGTTCATGGATTACATGAACAGGATTTTTAGGTCATTCTTGGACAGGTTTGTGGTGGTCTTCATTGATGATATATTGGTGTATTCTAGATCTTTGAAATATCACCGTGAGCATATGAGGTTGGTTTTAGAGGTGCTGAGGGAGAGGTAGTTGTATGCCAAGCTGTCCAAGTGTGAGTTTTGGTTGTTTGAGGTGAGGTTTTTAGGGCATGTGATATCGACAGAGGGGATTGCAGTGGATCTAGTCAAGGTGGAGGCTGTGATTTAGTGGGAGCGTCCAAGGACTGTTACGGAGTATCAATTTGAATTAATGAAACAAAATATCAAATAATTTTTTAAAAAAAATTTTACAAACTTAATTTATATATTAAAAACTTTAATTTAATAGTTAAATTGTTAAAATTTAATACAGAATATAAGTTATTAAATAATATCATATTGTATGAGCAACAACATAGAAGAGTTACTCTAATAGATGTGAGTTTAGCTAAAAAGTATCTGAAAAATCAATCTCAGCTTTCGGTTAAGCCTTTAGCTACTAATTAAAGGCACTTCATACCTATCAATAGAACCATTCGGCTTATACATGATTTTGCAAACACACCGTCAACCAATGCAATGTTTACCTCAGGCTACTAAATAGTTTTTATTTTGTTATAAGAGCTAAAAAGAAAGCAAGAGGAAAAATAAATCAAACAAAAAATAAACTACAGTATGAGCAACTTCCTGTTCTCTAACACCATCTCTTAACAACTCTACAAGATTAAATTTAAATAAGCTGTTACTTACTAAATTACTTTTAATTAAATTTTTAAATTTAAATTTAATAAGTTAACTAGGCTTATTTACTTTCAAAAAAGTGTATTAAAAATTTATTTTGAAAATGTTTAAAAAATTAAAACTATAAAAAGTTCTTTAAAGTGTAAAGCCTATTCAAATTAAGTGAAATAATAGAAGATTATAATTTTTAAGAATGATTAAATTTATTTGGTTGGTTATATATATTTTTTAAAAATATTTATAAATGTTATTTGAAAATTATAGATAATGTAATATTTTTATGTTAGAATCCTACTTATCCAATGAAAATAATTTGGTGAAGACTTGTATAAAAAATATTTAAAAAACTCATATCTTTTAGGAATGTTATTTTTTTTAGATAATAAATCAAATGGGAGAAATTAATATTCTCAATTTTATATTTCTAAAAAAATAAAAAAAAAAAAAAAAATTTGTATACCAAGTTACCAACCGTTTTCTTAGAATAATTGGATTTCTGTATTGGGACTTGGGAGTGTTTATAAATTTAGATTAATTCAAATTTATGGTAAAATTAAATTCGAATCCATCATATTTTATTGGAATGGTTTTGTCTGAGATTTGAATTTCTTTTGACAAATCTATACAAAAACTAATCTGATTAAGATTGATTTAATTTAATTAGGGACAATTGGATTCTAGCTAAGAATTATTATAATTTTCTAAGTTTTTTTTTCTCCACTAATAGTCTATTTTACATGAATATTTAATTTTAAATTCATGTAAAGAAAAATATTTTTTTTTTAATTTTAATTAATAATTATTTATTTTATTTAAATAACAAGAATCTATAGTATAATTAAGTTGTGCACATGAGCAATCACAAATAAGAAGTGCCTTTCTCATTCTGTTTAGGGACCTAAGGTATCCTAGGCAATCTTGTCTCTCCCTTTTCTTTTGTCATTATTTATGCTTTGTGTGTCTCTATGAATTGAAAGGTCCCGCTCACAAAGTTAATGATCTCATCCATCACGAGTTTTTCTATTTAATTTCCTTGCTTACATTTCCCAAATTTTATTATATTCATTAGTTTTTTTTATATGGTTATACAAATATAACTTATTTTTACTGGGTTAGTTCCTAAAAAATACTTTCTTTATTCTTTTTTAATCTGTCAAAAATTTTAATAAAAATTTATTTTTATTTTTTTAATTTTTAAAACAACATTAATTATTATAAAATTATATATATATCCTTATATCTCATCCAACTTTTAATAATTTATGTTCTCTGAAAAAAAACTTTTAATAACTTATGTATAATAATTAATATATATTTATTATAAAATAAAAATGAAAAAATATAATTAGACACATAAAAATCGGTCTACAGAAAATAAAAAATTTATTATCTTTTTAATTTTTATAAAATAACTTTAAAAAACTATTATAAAAGAATAAAGTGTTGAATCATTGCTTCATTTAACTTAACAAATCCAATAGTTACTTTTCTTTTTTTTTTTTTTCTTTCTTGGAGTGACTAAGATCTTCTTAGAATGTTAGAAACATCTTAAAGGGTGAGATAGCTGACCCCAAGATTTATCGCGACTGCATACACAAGGCAGGATCGAACACCTAACTTTACTTAAGCATAGATTAACCCCTACTACTGAACGACACGCTTGGGTTACCAAATAATTACTTTTGTAAAGAAAGAATTAGTTGATAAAATTAAACCCAGTTACATTACATAAATACGAATACCGACTAATTCAATTCCAAGATTTCCTTAAAAAAAAAAAAAAGAAAGAAAAGCTTTCTCTTTCTTTTGTAGTGTTGTGTTTCTTCTTTTTCTTTTTCCCTTTTCCTTTTGTTTTGTGATAAAAAGAAAGTGCCCCGAAAACGTTGACTCCTTGCTTATCCTCATCTCATTAACTACTTGCAAGCATAGCAACCTACCCTTCCCCTCTCTCCCTCCACCAACTTTCCCTTTAAAACATTTCACCCCATAAATTCTCCATCACACACAATCCATTCCTCAATTCCCCAAACCAAACACGCCCTCACGCGCTTCCCCGCAAAATGGAGGCTCGCCGGAGGATAACGCTTTACGACCAAATGACAGCTACCAACACCACCACCACCACCACCACCTCCAGAGACTCGCTAGCCAGCCTCATGCTGGACGACGTCGTTTTCAAGAAGACCCAAGCCCAAGCCCAAGCCCAAGCCGAAGCGAGCCGAAGCCGGACTCTCCAAGACATAATTCGCGAAGAAGAGACTAACCACGGCGCCAAGGATCGGAACTCATGGAAAGCCTTCAAGGATAAGCTTCGGCTCAAGCGCGCTCTCGGCTCGGCTTGGTCCTCCTCCGCCGCTAATACTAATAACGACGACGACGACGACGATGAAGACGATAGTAACAACATTAACGGCAACGGAAACGGAAACGGAGACGGAGACGGAGACGGAAACTTACCTGCTCAGTCGGAGGCGCAGAACGACGTCGTTGTGGGCGTGTCGTTGATGGATTTGTTGGAGGAGACGACGGAGCAGGAAATGGAGTTGTGCAGAGCCAGCGATGAGGACGAGGGTTATGTTGATGATGATGATGATGATGATGATGATGACGTGGAGGAGTGTAAATACAAGAAGGGAGAAGCGGAAGAAGAGGGGAAAGAGGGTTTGGTGGAGTACAAGTGCTGCGTCTGCATGGTGCGGCATAAGGGCGCGGCTTTTATCCCCTGCGGACACACCTTCTGCAGAACGTGTTCCCGCGAGGTTTGGGTCACCAGAGGGAATTGCCCTCTTTGCAATAATTTGATTTTGGAAATTCTTGATATCTTCTGACCTGGTAATACTTCCATTCCCCTTCCATTTTTTATTGTTATCATTATCTCTATTGGATTTTTTTTTTTTTTTTTTTTTTGTGATGGAAAAAAAATTATCATGCAGTTTGGGTGAATTTTTAGGGGACGTGTAATTATGATTCACTTGATTTTCGGAAAGAAGAATTAGTAATGTTAATGTGATTGGTTCGTCGTGTAATAATGTTTCGGTTTGAGGGGTGAATTATGGATGGCTTTACACTTTACTTGCACTTGCACATCTACTCTCACCTCACGTGATCATGTGATGATGCTGTACTGTTTCTACCATTAGCATTTTCAATAGTTGGATTTTGGATTTCTTAATCAAATTTTTATAGGTCTCTCGACGTTATATATGTTTTTTTTTATAAGAAAAATAATTCTCTAATGAAAGAATCTAGCTTAATTTTTTTTTTTTGACACCAAGAATCTATAGCTTAGTTATTTATTTGCTTTATGCGGATTTTACAATAGATTCACTTTTTCCCTTTTTCGGTCACGAGAACTCAAATCTTGTAGATTCTTGTTTAAAAACCAAGTTCTCCACGGGGAAGACAGTTCAAAAGTGGAAAAGATAAGAATTGATTCTTATTCGAATAAGATCTTGTTTGGTTGTAGGTTGATTATGCATGTACTTCTAATTTTTTTGCATCAAATTGATGAAATACGTGGAAGCTATAATGTATTGTTTCATGATTGAAGTGAAAATTCACGTCTCGAATCAAAACCAAACATGCTTTAACTCATAAGAATCTCTCTTTGAAGATGCATGGCCTGTGAGATCTAGTTGTGCTTAGACAACAGCGTGTTGTTTGTGAGAGTGGACAAGGTATTAGATTTTAGTTAAGCCATGGAGTGATCACATTGAATGTGAATTTTACGCCATTGCATATGTTTATCAGTTTTTTTTTTTTTTTTGGGGTCGACCTATTTACCAGCTTGATTGTGTTTTTAAGGGATAATGATCTATGCAACATTCATTCCAATTGGTTGTTTTTCTGCAAGTTCGGAAAGATGCCTTTCATCAGTTTTACAGTTTAAGTAATCCAATACAATAAATTCAGGAACAAGAAGAATAACTTCTACAATATTAAGAAAAGAAAGCATTTTTATAGTATACAATACCTTTGTTAATTAAGTAGGGTGATCATAAATTATTGATTAAAGTGGATACATGAAGAAATGTATAAAAGCTAAATGCTGGATCGAGATAGATAGCAAATAATGCGGGTGCATCAGCAAGAAAGGATTGGGCGATGCAAGTGGGGTCTTTGAATCCATTAGGGGTGAGAATGTAGACTTCTATGTGTCAATTTCTCATTTCTTTGGTGTGCTGACTCTTTGAATATGGGACCAAAAGTTGCACAACTTATATCCAACCCCGCACATCAGGGTCATGTGGTTGAATATGAAACCGAATATAACATGATATGGTTTAGTTTAGTTTTAGATTTGACTTTTTAAACCAAAATCCGTCTCTGTGCTAGTCTAGATTTAAGTATAAAAACAAGAAATGAATTTGTGATTATTGAAAAAAATATATATTAAGGTCTGCATAAAGGGTTAGGCGTTATTCATATGATTTTGATCAAATCTTACCACTTAGAACACTGAGACCCTTTTTTGTTTTTGTTTTTCTGAAAGCCTATAACTAACCAACAGCCAACAGATTTAGTTATCAGATATTGGGTACTAGAAAGTTAACAATTCTTGACACAAGATAGAAGATTGAATCAACCATGTTGTGTTTTTACTTATACGCGTTGTTCGGTATGCGTCTTATTTACTAATTAAAGATATTATTATTATGTTGAATTATTTATTAAATAAGTTATTTTTATCAACATAATAAAGTCTTTAGAATAATGCGTTTGATGACATGATTTATCAATACGATTGATGGATGCATAGGGGCGGACATAGATTAGGAATCGTTCATCTGGAATATTTTGAACAGTTCATTTGTATATTTTTGTTAATGACCGCAAATCTCTTCTTTCATATGTTAAATTTGTATTTCTAGGATGAATTTTAAATCACCAATCATCCTCATTTTGAACTCCATTCTAGCATTTAAAAGAAGAGGAACATCAAGTACTTGAAGAAGCATATGCAGTACATGAATTTTGGCTTCTTACAAGCATCAAATATTAAGTCAAATTAAAATATATGAGGCTTTTTATTGTTTTAAGTGTCTAGAAATCATGTGAAAAAAGTTTAAGTGATCAAAATGTTTTCTAAGCAAGTTATAAGACTTAAACAACTTAAATAAAAAAAAAGTTTTTCTAATATTAAAATGAATCAAGTCGTTTTTAAAAGAGAATAACTTTATAAAATTTAAGGATAATGTAAATAATTATAATAGATTTTTAATCAATACATAACAACTCAAAAAGTTCTCACATTAACACAACTCAAATAGCATACATAGCAATGAAAAACATAAAGATCAACTAACTTTAAAACGTAAAATTCTTTATAGGGTTACAGTAATCATATACATGTATATACAAAAATTACAAATACCAATATTGAAAAAGTAAAAGTTCTAGGTGTTGATCAAACACTTTATACAACGCTTTATCATAACAACCCAACAAAATGTTATTTCAAGCATGGCCATCTAACTTTATATTCGCCCTCTAGTCTAATTCTGACCTGCTCCTATACTATCACATTTCAACACATGAAAAAGTAATAGGTTAACTGTCAAGTCAAAAAATGATTTTAGACTCCTGATTTTGGACCCCTTAGGTTTTTAAGTTTTAATGTCAATAAACATAAACGTTTTTCTAAAGAAAAGTTTTGTAAACAAAGTATTAAGATGAATAGGCACTAAGACAAATGAGTTATCAAGTCAGACAAAACATTTAGTCTAATCAACACACGCTTTTGATTTTATATCATTTACAATGTTTGATAACTAAATTGTTTGTTTTTGTATGATTCCTTAACAGATCGAATAAACAAAAGCTTGAAGTACAGTGAAAAACACACAGAAGGGGGAGTTGAATGTGTGTGTATGAAGGATTTTAAAAACGTTTTTGCAAAGGTACTAATTTTCGTTAGAAAATAATGGTTCAGCTGCGTAAGGAAAGTGCAAGGTTGATTAAAAGGAACTATGCGTCCGAAGTTCTATCGTCTGTTCAAAAAATGATTTTCTCAGTTAAACAAATATGAGTTCGTCTAAATATTATTTAGAAGATAGATAGCAGTAGAGGAAGTTTTTCAAAGTGATGAGTCAATATAAGTGAAACTGCATTTCTAAGTTAAATAATAGTGCAAAGAGTTTTTATACTGGTTCACTCGTTTTGAGCTACGTCCAGTCTCCTTCAACTGAAGGGTTCCACTAATCACAATGAATTACAAGTATTCTCAACCACTTCTGGTTCTTCAACCTCACTCACTAACGCTAGTATTCTTGAACCACTTTTGGTTACCTAAGTATTCTTAACCACTTTTGGTTCGTCAACTTCACTTGTTGACGCTAGTATTCTTAAACCACTTCTGGTTCCATAAGTATTCTTTTGCTAGCCTCTTCAGGCTTTATAGACGATAGATGTTTTGAGTGTGTATATGACTCTCGCAAAGAGGATAAATTGGTTTCAACACTCACTAAGGTTTTCAACCTTAGTTTTACAAGAATGTGTTTAGAGTGTGTATGTAACTCTCACAGAGAGGATAAACTGATTTCTACACTTCCTAAGATAAGCTATCTTAGTTTTACACGGATATTCAACTTTTTCACAAGAAGAGAGGTAAGTTTGTTTTTGACACTTGTTTTGGCTTATTGCTTATTACTTTCTCTTCATCTTTCCATCTTTCCAGGTCTTGATATTTAAAGCGTTGTGTTGGATCTGCCCGTTATTTGAATTTGAATGTGTTTGTTGAGACGGAGCTTTCTGTTGGTGCAGATAAGCGTTTGTTCATGGCTACACAAATCTTCTTCATTTAATGCATTTGATTTTGCATTAAATGCTTTGCTTGCTCAGTTTGTCTCACGTGAAGTCTTTGGCATGATTTATCTCCTTTTATTTCTGACTTCAATCATGTCCTAGGCATGTTTGTCCTTTTTCGTCATTATAGCTGTGAAGGCATTGTTTTTCTGAAAAGTAGGTGTACTTGCCCTGACACGCGCAGTTTTGACTTGTGGATTCGCGCTCTTGCATTTTTCTCCCTTTTTTTTCGTATCTTTGATAACTCCGTTCTCTTTTCTTATAACTGAAGATGATGTATGATCTTCTTCGTTGTGACTAGTGGATCCTAAACGCTTTTCATCGTGTTTCTTTTGCGTTTGGGAAATTGAGTCTCCGTTTAAGATTTAGACTTTGACTTTTTCATTTCGTCTGATCAGTCTTGAGGATGAATAATTTTTATTCTGTCTGAAATGCTTCTTCGTTTTGAACTATCCAATGACTGATGATTGCTTTGTTGGTTTGAATATGTATGATTGACCCTTGAGTTTCATCCGATGTTTGTTTGGTGCTTGAGTCCACCTTGTCTTGGTTCTTGTTTTGCTCTTGTTTCTGAATTCTTCTATTTCACTCTTGATTATTCTTGGAGTATCTTCGTTTGGTGTTCATTATCGACTGATACGCAAGTCATGATTCTTCTATTGTTTGACTTGTCTTGTCGGATCCTTGTTTTGCTCGATCCTGCTCTTATACGTGTCTAAAACATTGCTACCCAGATTAGTAATAACAATATGTATTATATTTGTCATATTCAAAACTTTTATGGGAATTGTTTCGTCTGACTTAACAATCTCCCCCTTTTTGATGATGACAAATATAATCTATCAAATCGTTTCAGATATAAAATGATTTTAAGCCTTTCATGCAATTCATACATCAGTTTGATTTTATGGATTTTCTCAATATTCAAGACAAGGTCTCCCCCTTAGTATGTGCTCTCCCCCTTACTAGATTATTCCATTATAGATAGGGGCTACAACTCTCCCTTTCCTTAGATAGGTCTTGATAGATTTATTTCTACTTCTCCCCCTTTATAATCATCAAAAGAAATAGGGGATGCCAAACAACAATTTTATTGTTCACCTATCAGTTCCATTCCTAGCCTATCTCTTAGCCATTTATATATCTATCTTCTTGAAGAAGTTTGGTAAAGATATCAGCTAGTTGTTCCTCTGTTTTAACATATACTAGATCGAAGGTTCCTTTTTGCACATGATCTCTAATGAAATGATGTTTAATCTCAATATGTTTAGTCCTAGAATGAAAAACAGGATTTTTAGAAATGTTAATAGCAGCAGTGTTATCACAAAGTACAAGGATACTACTTTCATAAATGTCGTAGTCTTCCAGCTAATGTTTGACCCAAAGCAACTGCATGAGACAGTGTCCTGCAGCGACATACTCAGCTTCGCAAGTTGATAAGGCAATCGTGCTTTGCCTTTTGCTAGTCCATGAAACCAAGCAGCGACCAAGAAAATGAGACCCTCCACTGGTGCTTTTTCTCTTCCATTTGTCCCCTGTGTAATCTGCATCACAATAACCTAATAGGGAAAAATTCTGGCTTTTATAGAAGTTGATTCCTAGGTTAGCTGTTCCTTTAAGATACCTCAAAATACGTTTAATAGCTTGTAAATGTACCTCAAAATTATGGCTTTACTTAAAATCTGATACAAACGCAGACGCTAAACATAATGTCAAGTCTAGATGTCATTAGGTATATGAGTGAGCCTACCATTCCTCGGTACATGGTGCTATCTACATCTGGTGATTCTTCGTCCAGACCAAGGGTTGTGGATGGATGCATTGGTGTCTTCATAGGTTTTGCATCATCCATCTTATATTTCTTTATTAGCTCTTTTGTATATTTCGTTTGATGAATTTTGATTCCTTCGTCTGACTGGACGATTTGAAGTCCCAGAAAGAACTTCAGTTCTCCCATCATGTTCATCTCAAATTTTTCCTGCATAAGCTTAGAAAACTCTTGACAGAGATTATCATAAGTAGCTCCAAATATTATGTCATCTACATAAATTTGAACTATTATGAAATCGTCTTTTATTTCTTTCCTAAAAAGTGTGCTGTCAATCTTTCCCCTTATGAAATTATTGCTTGTTAGAAAAGAGCTCAATTTATCATACCATGCTCGTGGTGCTTGTTTAAGTCCATACAAGGCTTTGTTTAATATGAAAACATGAAACGGAAGCAGGTCGCTTTCAAAACCAGGGGGTTGGTTTACATATACTTCTTCTGAAATTGTTCCATTTAAAAATGTGCTTTTAACATCCATTTGATACAGTTTCATACCAGTGCAAGCAGCGAAGGCAAGTAATATTCTAATAGCTTCTATTCTAGCAACAGTGCAAAAGTTTCAGTAAAGTCTATACCTTCCTGTTGTGAGTATCCTTTTGCGACTAGCCTTGCTTTGTTTCTTACCACATTTTCGGATTCGTCTAGCTTGATTCTGTATACCCATTTTGTGTCGATGATTGTCCTATCTTTTGGTGCTTGCACAAGCTTCCAGACGTCATTCTTTTGGAACTGAGTGAGTTCCTCTTGCATTGCTTGGACCCAACTTTCATCGACAAGGCTTCGTCCGTGGTTTTTGGTTTGATTTGAGATAGTAGAGCGGTTTGTGCTTGTGTTTTGAATGAGCTTCTCGTTCTTATTGCATCTTTTACTTCGCCAATGATTTTCTCTTGAGGATGATGTGCCTTCATCTGCCAATTTCTATTTACAAGCTCTCTTTCCTCTTTATCATCGTATTGAGCTTCAGTTCTTCCAAACTCATCTTCCTTTGACTGATTTTTATTTACCTGCATATTTTCAAAGAAGGTTCTTAGCTCTGATATTTCCTTATCAGGCTTGTTTTCTTCAAACTTAACGTGAATGGCTTATTCAACAATTTTGGTTCTGTTATTGAAGACTCTATAGGCTCTTGACCTTTCAGAGTATCCAAGTAGGATACCTTCATCGGTTTTTGAGTCAAATTTTCGTAAGTTATCTTTAGTATTTAAAATAAAGCATTTGCATCCGAATGGATGATAGTATGATATGTTGGGTGCTCGTCCCTTCCACAGTTCATAGGGAGTTTTCTTCAAGATAGGCCTAAGATATATTTTGTTTTGGATATAACAGGAAGTATTAACTGCTTCTGCCTAGAAGTGTTTGGGAGTTGAAAAATCGTTTAGTATGATTCTTGCCATTTCTTGTAAAGAGCGATTCTTTCTTTCTACAACTCCATTTTGTTGTGGAGTTCTAGGAGTTGAAAAATTATGTTTAATTCTATTTTCTTCACAGAAATCTTGAAATTACTCATTTTCAAATTCTCCCCCATGATCACTTCTTATAGACACAATTGATATTCCTTTTACGTTTTGAACTCTTTTACAGAATACATGGAATACCTTGTGTGGGTTATAAATAACACCCATGTCCATCTAGTATAGTCATCAACAATGACCAGTCCGTATCTTTTACCACTAATGGATGCAGTCCTAGTGGGGCCAAATAGATCTATGTGGAGCAGTTCAAGAGGTCTTGAGGTAGAAACATGATTCTTACTTTCAAACGAACTTTTAACTTGTTTCCCCTTTTGACATGCTTCGCATAGGCTATTTGATTGGTACACAAGACTCGGTAGACCTCTTACGAGGTTATGCTTTTTCATCCTTGAGATTAATCTCAGACTTGCATGACCAAGCTTTTTGTGCCACAACCACTGGTTTTCATAAGATACTAGACAATCAATATTTTGATCTTCTAGTTCATTAAGCATTATTTTGTATAAGTTATTGCATTTGTTAGTCGTAAACAATATAGACGAATCAGTTTGACTAACAGTACATTTGTTTTTGTTGAAGGAAACTTCGTAATCGTTGTCGCATAATTGACTTATACTCAGCAGGTTATGTGTTAATACTTTAACATATAGAACGTTGTCAATGGTAATAGAGGAATTTATGCCTATTTTACATATTCCCATGATTTGTCCTTTTTGTCCTCCTCCGAATGTGACTAGGCCTCCTTTCTTGGACTTGAGGTCTAGAAACATAGACCTTTCGCCCGTCATGTGTCGCGAGCAGCCACTGTCCAGGTACCATGACTGGACACTTTTTTTTTTGTTAAACAAATCTGCAATAGGTATTATCTCAGTCTTTGGTACCTAAATGGATTTGGGTCCATAAATGTTAGTGTTTGAGGTTTTGGAACACCCCTTCTTGTGCATGTGATTGCACTTAGGCGTGAAATGCCCATTGTATATAGGATATGCAAATGTACTTGCTT